GGCAAGAAAACAGCAGGAATCCGAGCTGCCCCTGTCCCTGACCTGCCACACACTGCCTGACAGATTGCACCTCCTCCTTCCTAGCTACTGCTGTAGACTGCCGTTTGACCTCAATATTTCTCTTCTCATTTAGGTTGTCAGAATCCGTGCTTTTCCTGCTCTTAGATCTTTCACTCTGCCACACCAGCAATCTTGCGGCGATATTCTCATCCTGTTGCACCACTAGTTGGGAACGGTCCATGGCTCCCCATGGCTCAGGGGATAAAGACCCTGCTCTTCAAAATGCCTCAAGGGCCCTTTTGCAGGTCAGACCCCTAACTTTCTCTCTCCTCTTTGCTCCATAGCAATACCTGTCTTTCTCCTGCTGCCTTGCTGTCTGCCTGGGCTACAACGTCAATTTAAGAGTGTCCGGGGCAAGGGGTCCCTCCTCAAAGGCTTGTTTGATCTCCAGATAAAGTTGACTAGTCTTTCTCTGGAGCTCCCAAGTCCCAGTGCCCACAAGGCTTTTAGATGTGTGTGTGTTTCTCTGGCCCCATTACAACTGGAGTCTCTGGCCGGGCACAGTGGTGCACACCTGTCATCCCAGCAGCTCAGGAGGCTGAGGCAGGAAGATCACAAGTTCAAGGTCAGCCTCAGCAACTTAGCAAGGCCCTAAGCAACTCAGTGAGACCCTGTCTCTAAATAAAAAATAAAAAGGGCTGGGGATGTGGCTCAGTGGTTAAGCGCCCCTGGGTTCAATCTCAGGTACCAAAAAAGAACTGTAGTCTCTGAAAGCAGCAACGTGTCACCTAGCACAATGGCTGGCATGGTGACAGTTCCCATCCATGAAATCCTAAATGGATGTGGAAATAAGAAGATTAGCCAGAGCAAGTGGATACAAATGCAAATGAGGCTTTCCAATGGCTATATCTGTAGGTGGTATAAAAAAGGGGACAGAACACCTATAATGCTCAGGCACCTCTGGGAGAGAGGAGATTAGGGATTAAGTGAGGAAGACTAGGACAGGTGGCCTTCTGTATGGGTGGGTTCCGCCTGGGCGGATTCTATCAACCTCAAGGAACTGAAAATGTTCAGCATTAAAAGATTTGTATTGCACTGAACATGCACTGACATTTTTTTCTTGTTATTATTCCCTAAACAATACAGTATAACAACTATTTATATAGTGTTGACATTGGAGTAGGTATTGTGAGCAACCTGGAGATGACTGAAAGTACATAGGAAGGTGTGTGTAGGTTCTAGGCAAATATTATGTCACTTTACATAAGGGACTTGAGTATCTGTGTTTTTTTTTTTTTTTTTTTTTTTTTTTTTAGGAGTCCAAAAGAAATCCCTGCAGATATCGAGGGAGGACTATATTTAGAAGAAAGGTAGACAAAGAAGAAGGGGGGTTGGGCCCACTGGGGCTTTAAGAGTGGGCAGTGGGGGGCTGGGTTTGTGGCTCAGTGCTACCACTGTGCTCGCCTAGCATGCATGAGGCACTGGGTTCGATCCTCAGCACCACATAAAAACAAAATAATGTGTTCACCTAAAACTAAAAATACATAAATAAATAAATATTTCTGTTTTTTTTTTTTTTTAAAGAGTGGGCAGTGAGTGGGTCTGGCGTGTGGATGGAACTCCCAGGGGGGATCGGGAAGGGGTGGACCATGCATTAGCATGCAGGGCTGGCATGTGGGACCCAAGGGGCAGTAACTGGGGACATGGCATTGAAGGACAGATACAGATGCCTCTAGGAGTCGGGAGGTGGGATGAATACAGGTAAGAGAAGAACCGTGGATATTACGATAGAGAGTTACCTGCACCCCTCCTCCGGGAAGCCTTCCCTGGCCCAGCAAGCTCTGCCTGTGACATGGGGTTGGGGGACTCTTCAAATACCCTGGATTTGTCCTTCACACTCCTTCTCAGAATTGCAGTCAAATAGGTCTTCATTTAAAATCTGCTTCCACTTCAAGAAGACAAGGATCTGAGGCAGGGATACTCTGCCTGGTCCATATTGGAGGCTCAAGTAGGACGTGTTGAATGAATGATGGCTGAAGCAATTGAACAAATCAACCATGAATCAAACAACGAGGTGTCTAGAACGCAAGACCAAGCAGCCAAGATGCCCCCTCAGCACAAAAAAAGAAGGCAAGGAAGGCTATGTAGAGCCCAACAGATAACCTAGAATACCATGTGGGCCAATCTGTGCAGCTCTGTTATCATATGGCCCCTGAACCTGGGGATTAGAGTCATTTTTCTTTTGTGTGTGTGGTATTGGAGATTGAGCCCCAGGGGTGCTCTACCACTGAGCTATGTCCCCCACCCTTTTTATTTTTATATTTTGAGGCAGGGTCCAAGGCTGGCCAGGAATTTATGATTGTCCTGTGTCAACCTCCCCAGTAGCTGGGATTACAGGTATGTACCACGGTGCCCAACTCTTTTGCATTTTTAAATGGTTGAAAAAGAATTGAAAGAATGACATTTCCCAGCACAGAGAAGTCATTTGCAATTCACACATTTCGGTATCCATAAATATAAGTTCTATTGGAAGAGAGCTATACCAGTTCATTTACATATCACCTGTGGAGTTTCACACTGCCATGGTAGATTTGAGCAGCTGTGACAGACACCATAGACCTAAAGTATTTATTACCTGGTCCTTTGGAGAGAAAGTCGGTTGACCCATGAGCTGGAGCATCCCTGGGATCACTATATCCTAAGATCTGCAAGAGGTTCTGCCCCAGTGGCAAATGCTAAAGTCCAAATCCCAGAAAAAAAGCTGCCAGACACCAGCTGTTGATGCTGGTGACTGAAATATCCACTGGTAAATTCAGTGCTATCAATGGTAGTACTCTCATGCCATGAACTATTACCTACGACACACCCATTAAGAATGAATCAGGATGAAATGCACAAAGTGTTGAAAAATGTCCATAATACATTTAAAAAAAATTTTTTTGTAGTTGCATATGGACAGAATGCCTTTATTTTTTATTTGTTTATTTTTATGCAGTGCTAAGGATTGAACCCAGTGCCTCACACATTCTAGGTAAATGCTCTGCCACTGAGCTACAGCCCCAGCCCCTACAATACATTTTTAAAGTTAATTTAATTCCAGGTGCAATGGCGTGTATCTGTAATCCCAGTGACTTGGGAGGCTGAGGAAGGAGGATCGAGAGTTCAAAGCCAGCCCCAGCAACTTAGCAAGTCCCTAAGCAACTCTGTAAGACCCTGTCTCTAAATAAAATACAAAAAACCCAAAAAACAAAAAAGGTGGGGGGGATGTGGTTCAGTGCCCCTAGGTTCAATTCCCAGTACCCTCCTCCACCATAAAGAAAGAAAGATATTTAAAGAACAATATGGATAGTACTTTTTAATTTATTTTAAGAGAGTCAACATACATATGCTTATGAGAGAATACAAATATCTGAAAGAAGACATGTGATAAAAAGCTCTAGGAAATGGGGCCAGGGATTTTTTACATTTGATTTGAATTCCATTTGTACTCCTTGAATTTCTTTTTTTACTCTAAGAATATTAAAAAATATATTAAAAAAGAATATTAAAAAAAAAGATAAACAAAGATGCTGATTTGAGAAAGCCACTTTCCTCCCCATGCCCTTTGGCAACAGAGTGGCTAATTTGACAACGGATCCAAATTCTTGATGATCCAAATTCTATTCTGCATCTCCCAGAGGGAGAACTGCATACAAACACCGCTGTCTGAAACCTCAATTCTCAGATGAGTAGGTTGAACTACTCATTGTGTTTTGAGGAAGCAGGAAACTAAGACGGTTAGAAACAGTCTCACTTCCCTTTTCCTAGAAACTCTGGTTACCTCTTCATTTAGAACACCCCAGCGGAGTTTGCAGAAGGTCAGGTTGCCAGGGGATACCAATAAACCAGCTGCCCAGAGTGGCAGATGACAGTTTCCTTTGTGTCTCCCTTTGAACAGCAGCTGGCTCTCCCATCACTTCCTCCCGTGAAGGGTCACAATCCTAAGCCATATTAACGATCCCCCCTCCCCAGGGGCAAGAGGTGGTTATGAAGTCAGGCATGGATGGAAGAAGAAGTGAGAAACCACGGCTGAGCCAACAGGGGGATTTGGGTAGAATTGCATGACCCACCTTGGCACACGTGTCTATGGATTCCTTCCAAATTTAACTTTCCCTGGGCTGATTCTCCTGGTTCTCTCTCATGGGAAAGTCCTTGGGGAGTCACACCGGCCAAGACACTGGGCTCTTAGCTGGTTTGCCCTGCGCTGCCCTTGACCCACAACTTGAACAGCGTCCTGATAGAAGCTGCCACGTAGCACATCCTTTAACAAGTCTCCTCTTCCCTATATCCAAATGGAGTCATTTGGAAAGTCCAGGAAGTCCAAAATACTTAGGGACATGGGGGTGCAGACCTCCTCAGCTCAGAAACGCACATGAAACCTGCACTATCTAATGGGATAAATAATCCACACGTAGCCCCAGCATTTACCAAAGGACATTCTGAGAAATTTCAGGCCAGTGAGAGAGTTCGGTTAAAGAGAAAAAAAGATGTTGCAATCAAATCAGAGAAAGTGTACATTTGCAATCCCTGTTTGGGAACATGAGTATCATGAGAACATTCGACGTTCCGGGAAAATAGGCAGTAGCTTAAACCTGTTCAGCTTAATCTAAACCAGCTTTGAGATCCCTTTGGAAAGCCTTCAAGATGCCGTTTGGAAACATGGCCTCAGACCCCGAGGGAGGATTCTACGAAGATGCCCAGCCCAGATGTGAGGTTCCAGGGATGAGCTGAACCTCCCAGGACAGCCTGAAGATTCTCTAGGAACTACAGACCCAGGCTTGGATCCCTAACACGCACACACATGGGCAAGCAGGACTCTACGGTAACCCCTGAGCACGGATTTTGAAGGCCAATGCCCGAGAACCGGGGGGCAAGGGTGGGAGGTAACCAAAGGAGAAGAAAAGCACCCGTCCAGAAAGACAGACACCCACACTGATGCATGTTCCCCCAGCAGGACTCACCATTGGTGGTCGTGTTGACATAGTAACGCCGGCCCTGAGGGGACAAGTAGCTCTGCCAGCCAGGTGGAAGGACAACCGTCTGGCTTTCCTCTCCGGGCGGAGGGGGGACCATTCCAGGCTTCTGTGGAAGAGCAAATAAATGTCAAGATCATTGTAATGTTTTGAGCAACTAATAAAAAAAAAAAAATAAAAAAAAAAAGATCACTCACGTTTGGCATTTATGCAACTGTTTTTCAACCAGAAAGATAGAGGCCCGAAGAAGTTACCCTGGAATTGCTCCATGTTGGGAACAGCAGGAGAAAGGTCAGGTGACACAGGTGCATGACTCAAGGGCTGCATGAGGAGCACTGGTTCCTGCCAGAGCCCTTTGCTGAAGGGACCGCTCCTCTGGAGCATGGAGGGAAATGCCAATTAGCTAGCAGACCTGGGCTTTCTCCTCCTGGGACTCCTACAAAGTCAACCACAGCAGTGGTGGGGGTGCCAAGCTTGCCAGGGGCCCCTGTCACTCTGTGTGCTTCCTGCTGTGAACCTGAAGCCTCCAATCCACAGGACCACTGAGCACAGTAGCACACGAAGCCCCAGGCCCGCTGTGCAAACCTAGCAGAAGTAATGCATGCAAGTCGTGGCACAGTGGGATGTGAAATATCCCATAATAACACCGAGAATCCATCAAGAACTGGATCCAGAAAGTCCAGCTCTGGGGGATTTTTCTCACCAACTGTCCCAATCACTCTGGCAAAGAGAATTGAGATTCTAAGACCAAACAGACCCTGTCTCTACTCTGGATGCAATTACAGACATTGGATTCTTTTAACCATGCCTGGTATGACTCGCCTTAAGAATCAATCAGAGAAAAATATTTACGTCCCAGAAACATGATGTAAAATAGACACACGCTAAATGGCACCTGTGGTCCCTTGCTGTTGGGACAGGTGTGATTTTTTTTATTCTCTTCTATTTATCTGTTCCATCTCTAAATTTACTCCAATAAGCGCAAAGATTAAAGTTCTTGGATAAAGAATATTTAAAAATCAGGTCTGAGGTTCCAAATGAGCCCGCACGATTGCTGTGCTTTTTGAAGAAAAGCAAACTGATAAAAGTCAGAATTCTAACCACAGGAGGGGAATGGAGGTGGGTTTCCCAGCAAGGTCAGAATCTGCTCAGAAACATTAAAGGCCATCAGCTCCTCCAAGTCCTCTGCATCCCTCAGCAGTGCCCACCAGGGTGGTTTCTTTTGGTCACTGATGACCAGTGCTTAGGAAAACAGGATAATAAATTGAAAGGGAGCCGTGGGGAGACACTCTGGCAAGCCGCTCTCCGCTTTGTGCAGGCCGTAATGCCGTGTGTCTCTGCCTCCTGTGGTGGCCCGTGTGCCATCAGGGGGGATGAGCAAATCCTAGCTTCTCCTGGGATCGCCAGTAAACACGGCCTGCCTCTGACCCTGGTGCATGTTTCATTCTGAATTCTCGTCACTTAATTAAAAGCAGTCCCCTGTGCCCTGGATGCTTCTGTCTTCTCCACCTGCTCCTGCTAACCCGCAGGGCCTCTTTGATTCCTCGTGGAAGATCATTTTCTAAGCCAGCAACAGCGAGGTGCACAGCTGCTGGGCCAAAAGCCCCACAGTGTCCCACCGGGCTGTCTGCACACCAATGCGACAGGTCCATTGAGCGTGAGCACACCCCTGACCAGTGCAGGGTTACCTGGGCTTCTGCACGTGGCTCCAGCCTCTCCTGAGTTGGCAGATGGCTCGAGTACATGCAAGACAAATAGCCTAATGGTAAGTAAAGACAGGGAGTGGGGAGAGAAAGCTATCCCCATATAGTAGCTGCACATTTTGGCTGGGGCAGGTAGGAGTGCCCGTAATCCCAGTGGCTGGGGAGGCTGGGGCAGGAGGATTGCAAGTTCAAAGCCAGCCTCTGCAATTTAGCGAGGCTCTAAGTCATTTAGCAAGACTCTGTCTCAAAATAAAAATAAATAGGATTGAGGATGTGGCTCAGTGGTGAAGCACCCCTGGGTGCAATCCTTGGTACTAAAAAAAAAAAAGATGGAGGGTTTGCCTAAACAGAGAGCTATTCTAGTACCAAAGGGTTAAGATGCTATATTGCCTTCCTTTGAGTCCATATTCCAGAACACCCAAGAGGCGACGGCCACTTGGTGCTCGTCTGAATAACGTGGGAAGAAATGGGAAGTTGTTCCAGGGTGCTGAGCCAGGTTCCGAAACTGTCACTGCCATCCACAGCGTCTCCGTGCCAGTCCTCTATACCCTAGTCAGGGGGCAACCATGTGACCTCAGGCAAATGACAGCCAGGCTGCTGCCACTTGGGTGAGATGAAAGATGCTCACATCAGCCCATTCGTGGAAGACGCAAGGGAGATCCATGGCGATACACCTGGCCACCAGGAGAGAGTCCCTGTCACCAGGAGTGCTCCATCGGTGGGGGTACCCCTTGGAAGAGGGAGGTCTGAGTGGGGCAGGGCTCCCCCCAGACCCTATCTTCTGGGATGTGAAGCTCGGGCGAGTGCACACCTTCCCCTCAGACATCACATCGGATCCCTCCCCTTCCCCTTCATCTCGGAAACGTCACCATCAACTGTTCCTTCTCTGAGGTTTCTGTTTCCAGGATGACCCCAGAAACAGCCACAGGGAAGGTCAACACACGAAGGTGCTGACCATCGTGTGCTGTTGAGAAGGCTGGGCAGCGAGGAGACCTCCCTCCAAGGACCGGAGAGAAGGTGGACTGAACCTTCTGCCCCTGGGGACCCACCGACGGAAGAGCAGAAGGACCCTGTTCCTTCTTCACAGCTGTTTGGACTCCTCTCTAGGATGACTCTGGGTAATTTACCTACATAACCCTGTGACGTCAGAAGAAACCCCGGTTGACATGTAAGGACATGGATGACCAAGGAGGTAAAATAACTACCCCAAAGTCACCCAGGAAATGCAGGGGCCTCTGGGAAGGTACCCCCCCCATACCAAGCCAGAAAACACCAACAGGTGCCAAGAAAGGGCAGGAGAAGGACCACCAGGCTGACAGCCTATTTCCTTCAGTCTGGTGAAGGCCACATGGCCATGGGTCCTCTCTCAGCCTGCCACCTGACTGCCCTACCTCCATCTTCTGAGACAGCCACAGGCCCCTTGCTCCTCCTTTCTTAGAAAGAAGTTCCTCTCATTGACTAACCTCAAACAAATCAGGAGGCAAAAGACGTGGCGACAACGGGGTATACATCCCCCCACCCAAGTTGAAAACAAGCGTCCAACAAAAACTCAGGCATCAATATTCAGGGCCTCTTCTTCAATAAGGACACCCAAGTGCAAGCAGCTGAAATGCTCCTCCAATGGGTGGAGGGAGCAGTGAGATTTGCCTCATGCACCCACATGATGGAACAGCACTCAGAAATAAAAAGAAACTGCGCGCTGATACATGCCAGGACACGGAGGAGCCGCGGAGGCATCATGCCAATTGCAGGAAGCCAGACAAGAGGGCCACGTGTTATATAAGTCCATCTACATGAAATGTCCACAGCAAGCAAAGCCGTAAAGACAGAAGTAGTTTGCGGTTGCCAAGGGCTCAGGGGAGGGAGAATGGGTACCGGGTTTTCCCTTCGGGGTGATGAAAATGTTCTGAAGTAGACAGGGGTCCTGGGTTGCATAGGATCATAAAGGTAGCAGAGTCATGAATGGGCCATTTTAGTTGAGGTATATTTTATCACAATAAAAAAATCAGATGGTAGCCGGGTACGGTGGTGCACGCCTATAATTCCAGTGGCTTGGGAGGCTGAGGCAGGAGGATTGCAAGTTCAAAGCCAGCCTCGGCAAAAGTGACACACTAAGCAACTCAGGGAGACCCTGTTTCTAAATAAAATATAAAATAGGGCTGGGGATGTGGCTCAGTGGTCGAGTGCCCCTGAGTTCAGACCCTGGTACCCCACCCCAAAATGATATGTTAAAGATAGAAGTTAGATCCACCTATAAGCCTTCACTTAAGAGGCCAAATGCACCATTTTACCTCACTCTTAGTGACTGTGGAGAGGCAGGAGCAGTCGGCCTCCTGGGAGAACTGCCCGTCGTCAGTCATTACAAGTATACAGAGTGATAAACACCTACTAATTAGGATCTCTATTAAACTACTACTTCTAATTAGTTTCCTTCCACGTTAAATCCTTCCCTTCCCTTCCCTTCCTCAGCCTTGTGGCTTCTCTCTTTCAATTCTGTCAGCTCTTTCCCTTGGGAATAGGAACAGGAGACGGAGGGGACACAGTGAGGGGGCAGAAGGCCCTCCCTGGCAGGGAGAAGATTAGAAGTAGCCAGGGTGGGGTGGGAGAAAAATAAAGGCAGTGTCCTCCAACTCAGAAATTCTGAATCTAACACAGAGATGTCTTTGTGGGAATTATAAAAGCTTGTCTCTTCCTCTGGCAAGAGCCATCCAGGACCAAAGGGCAAGCTGGATTTTAATCCTTTCCATCCTTATTTGTTCAGTCAACAACCTGCTCAATTGTATATGAAACTTAGCGACCTGCTGTATACCCCCAAATGGGTGCACGGGTCTTTCATCCTGTAGCATGCATCAGCGCATCACTTTAAAAAAATCTGAATGTTATTCCATTGTATGGAAATACATGCCACATTCTGTTTATCCATTCGTCCACTGATGGACATTTTGGGTTCTTTCCACTTGGGTGCCATTATGAATAATGCTGCTATGAACATTCTTGTCCATGTTTTTTGGGGTTCACCCTATTTCATATGTACTATGGCAAGGCTCAGTTTTGACCACCTCAAAACCCTAGTCCGGTAGGTTCTCTACAAAGAACTGAGATGAGATTCCATTTGCACATATTAGCGATGACTTTCATCAGTCACCAAATGTCTACAGTGTACCAGGGACTGGGCCTGGCGCTTCACACAATCACCTGATCTTCACAACTCGCCTGAGCCGTGGATGGCCGTTTATTCCCATTTTAAATCAAGGAATGTTAAGAGTCAGAGGGCTTAATAGCTTGCCCTATGCTGCACAGCTAACTGAATGGTTGGTAAAACCAAACTTTCTTTAAAATGTTAGCTTTGGGCTGGGGGGTAGAGCCCATGCTTAGCATTCAAGAGGCCCTGGGATCTATCGCTAGC